TTTTATATTACTTGTTTTTTGGTGAATATTAGTTTTTATTCATTATAAAATCGAAAATTTTTTTTTCGTCGAATGATAAACGGTATTTTAATGAGCAGCAATTAGGAAAACTCATTATCTTTTTCAAAACTTAAAAGGCTTTCAGCTAAAACTTTTTGAAAAATAAAATGATTTATTTTAAAATTTTATCGAAATCTATTCATTAATTTGAATATAAGTTAATGGATTCCGTTTTAGGTATTTTACATAGCTACAGGCAATAAACGATATAATGAATATATAAATTAAAAAGTGTTAGCATTATACAAGAATAGAGATGAATCTATTGTTAGCTAGAAAATAATTTTCTTTGATGATTTGTATAAATAGATTGGTTTTTAAAATTTTGTAGTGCATTAAAATAGAACTTTGAATTTACAATTAATCGCAATATTTCATGTCGAATTTATGGATGTATTATATTACATTATTTAATAATTTTTTTTTTTTCATTTTTATAGCATTCATTTTTCATGTTAAATTTTCATTTCATAGTTTATAAATATATTTTATTATTTTATTTGCTGATTAGATTTTTTTTAAATATTTCCATTATACTTTTATTGAAAAATCATAAACTGAATTATTGTATAATTTCCTAAATGGAAAGCAAGTTGGTAGTTCAAAAAATAATTTAGATTTAATAATCTAAATTATTTTTTGAACTACCAACATTCCCAAAACTGCGTTAATAAACTCACAGCTTTATTGACACACGCACAAACACCATACGCATACAATTAGATCCATACAATATTTAACACATTTAAAGACAGAAAATTATAGATTATGGAAGGGAAACGTGCAGGGTGCGCAAAATATACTTCCTCTCCGGTGAGAGTCTGTAGGCCAACTAGTACGAGGGATGAGTTAAATAAATTTCCTGTCGGGATGAGATATTATAAATTAAACGTTTCTCAGCGGAAGCGCAGGTTGCACGGTATTTCCTCTCTGATGAGAATTTCGAAATGTACTGACCATTTCTCCGGGACGCCACAGGGGGCGTCCTTTGTCAGTGCTTAGGAAGAAGCAGGGTTACAAATATGTATTTGTAGTATTAAATTTTGGGAAGCATTTTTTAAATCAAAAATAAAAAGAATTTTTATCTTTCGAAGTGCAGATGCTATTTTGAAACACATTGTGGTATTTTATAACATCAATAAAAATTGAATTCTCAAAAAAATGTTATGCAATATATTAGATTATTTGGCCATTTTTTTAATAAAAATGTTTCACATTTGATTGAAATCAAATGCACGTACTAATTGCATAAACTATACATATAAAACAATAAAAAAAATGTAATGTCTATTGGTATTTCATACACTAACGTAAAATCTATCAGAAAGAAATCTTTCTTTTGTTTTGTTTTTTGTTCTAAAGCTCTGTTTAATCAAAACTCGCAAAATTTTTTTAAAAATGGTTCATAATTAATTTATCACTTATTATATTCTTATGGCGATAGTTGAATGCTAAAGCGGGATGGATGCACATTGGACATTACGTTTTCTTGACCTTGAAAATAAGGATTGCGACTCTCTCCTTAAATGCATAATAATACCTATATGTATGTTCTTGCTACGTACTAGCTGCGAGCTCTAACACATAGTTAGAAAATTTATAAATTGGCACATAAGAAATTTAAACATATACATGCGCATAAGCGCGCTCCACACACACTTTAACACGCATCCACACACACCCACATACGCCCTCCCACACACACACACACATATAACAGGTGGGCAGAAAAGTTCGTAGGCTTATACATAGATGGCGCTATTAGTGTTAAATCCATATGATTTTTAGTTAGCCGTATCCTTCAAAAGACACGTGTATAAATTTGACAGCTGTTGCAGTATTAGTATGTGATTTATAGCATTTTTAGTGAAGCAACTTTTGTTAGTTTGAAAAAAAGGATAAAAAGGAATTTTTTCTCGAAAAAAAATACTATTGAAGCCAAGCCTTGGCTTGATAAAGAATATTCGGACTTTGCACCAGGAAAATCAACCGTAAAGAAGTGGTTTGCTAAATTTAAACGAGGCGAAATGAGCACCGAGGACGATGCACGCAGTGGACTCTCCAAAGAGGCTGTTACCGACGAAAACATCAAAAAAATCCACAAAATAATTTCTGATAACCGTAAAGTGAAGTGGATTGAGATAGCTGAGACCCTAAAGATATCAAAGGAACGTGTTGGACACATCGTGAAGGAATGTTTGGATATGCAAAACCTGTGTTCAAAGTGGGTGCCGCGCGAGCTCACAATCGACCCACAACAACGACGAATGGATGATTCTAAGCAGTGTTTGGAGCTGTTCAATCATAATAAACCCGAATTTTTGCGTCGATATGTGACAATAGATGAAACATGGCTCCATCATTTCACACCGGAGTCCAATCGACAGTGGACTGCACGTGTTGAACACTAAAATGCTGTAACTTCACTGAAAGTGCTGTAACTCACATACTAAGAGTGCAACAGCTGTCAAATTTATACACGTGTCTTTTGAAGGTTAGGGCCAACTAAAAATCACATGGATTTAATACTAGTACCGCCATCTATGTCAGCCTACGAACATTTCAGCCACCTATTACATATATATGAATGCATACACATACTAACCACACATTTACACACACACACATATATATATATGTATATGTATACACCTATCTATGCATGCATCTATGCATGCATGCATACACCATTACATGCATGTATGTATACATCTATACATGCATGCTTACACGTATATATATATGCATACATCTATACATGCATGCTTACATCATTTCTCACCGGAGTCCAATCGACAGTGGACTGCACGTGCTGAACACTAAAATGCTATAACTTCACTGAAAGTGCTGTAACTCACATACTAATAGTGCAACAGCTGTCAAATTTGCATGCATGCTTACACCAATACATGTATGCATACATCTATACATGTATGCATACATCAATACACGTATGCATACACTGTTGTTGTTGTTGTTTCTTATCCCACTTGGCTGGCCAAGCCCACGAGCCCATATGGACTCATGATTGAAGGGGAAGGAAGCAGCTTCTGTTGTGATGGAGCACCCGTAGGTAGAAGCCTGACTTTTGCTCCGTGGCGCTCTTACAGTCATAGAAGACCGGGACCTACGGTTTAAAGTGGATTCCGAACCACTACAAACATCCATGGCACCGCCGGGATTCGAACCCGAAACCTGTGGCACCGAGCGCCAGAGCGCTAGACACTCGGCCATTCAGGTCCCAAATTTGCCAACGGCACGCAGTGTTCCCAGGTGGTCACCCACCCAAGTACTGACCGCGCCCAATGATGCTTAACTTCGGTGATCTAACGAGAACCGGTATATTCAGCATGGTACGGCATGGCATACACTAATACACGTATGCATACACTAATACACGTATGCATACACTAATACACGTATGCATACACTAATACACGTATGCATACACTAATACACACATGCATACACTAATACACGCATGCATACACCAATATACGTATGTATACACCAATATACGTAAGCATACACCAATACACGTATGCATATACTAATACACGCATGCATACACCAATACACATGCATACACGAAAATATTCCGAATCATACTTAACAAACCAATTATACACCAATTGTAAAAAATAGCTGAGAGGTTTAAAAGGTCATTTTAATATTTTTAAAAATTTAATTTAAAAAAACCCATTTAATTATTTTCTAATGTAAATGCAACTAATTTTATATGAAATCAAAGAAACCGATTCTGTTCAGATTAAAAAAAAAAATTTTTTTTTTCCCATTTGATTTGGTGAAGCAAATAATTAATTAAATTTTTATATACAAAAAAAATCATTAAAGTATAAAATATATACATTAAAAATTAATAAAACCTAAATCATTAAAAACTTTTTGTGCTTTTTTTTTTTAAAGTTTTATTAATTAATATTTTATGAAGTCAAATTACGATAATTTTCATTTGAGAAAAATGTTGAATTGAATTTTTTTTTCTGATATATAATAAATATTTTTAAAATGAGAAAATCTAGTTAAAAGCATAAAAAAATACAGTTAGAAAGATTAAAAACTAATTAATAAATAATTTAATTTTTTTGATTTAAGATTCCGCTTTGCAATTCGCTCGGGCGACATCAAAGTTATCTCGTTTGAGCAAAAACAGATCTATAATATGTACTTTTTAATTTAGAATCTGGTCTCTAATCGATATTTCTTTTGAATATCTCTTAAATTTATTATAATAATTTGAAAAGAAATTTAGATCTTAAGGGTTGACGACATTAGAAAGCCAACCGCATAAACATTTCAATGAGTTATAATTTTTTTTTTCACAAAGGCTTTTAATCTTTAATGTTTTAAAAAAATATTGAACAAATTTGACTATTATTATTATTTATTTATTATTTTATTTATTATTATAATTATTATTTTTAATAAAGGCACTTAATCTTTAATGTTTAAAAAAAAATATTAGACACATTTGACTAAATTTGTTATTAGTTTTGGAAAAAAAGTTTTCTTTTGACTAGAGAAAAAATTTAATAATCATAATAATAATAGTTTTAACCATAGACATCGTTCATGAATCGAAAGTATCATTTAACTTAAGGAAAGTCAATTTTTGAATCCCTATATCTCCATATTTATCAGATCTCTACAAAAAAATTTGTTGTTGTTTCTTATCCCACTTGGCTGGCCAAGCCCACGAGCCCATACGCACTCATGGTTGAAGGGAAAGGAAGCAGCTTCTGTTGTGATGGAGCACCCGTAGGTAGAAGCCTGATAGGAGACCGGGACCTACGGCTTAAAGTGGATTCCGAACCACTACAAACATCCATGGCACCGCCGGGATTCGAACCCGAAACCTGTGGCACCGAGCGCCAGAGCGCTAGACACTCGGCCATTCAGGTCCCAAATTTGTGAATGCCAACGGCACGCGGTGTTCCCAGGTGGCTACCCCCCTAGTACTGACCGCGGCCAATGATGATTGACTTCGGTGACCTAACGAGCACCGGTATATTCAGCATGGTACAAAATAATTTATCAGATACTAATTTCATCACACTAAGTCGACTGCGTTAAAAATCCCAGGATTCGTAGTTGAAAAATTTCTAGGTGCCGGTTAACTAACTTTGTTCAGTTCTTTTTGAACCATTTCCAACGACATCATTTACATCAACATCTAATGATAATTAACAGTTGTGCTGAAAAGTTCGTAGGCTGACACATAGAGGGCTCTACTAGTATTAAATCCATACGATTTTTAGTTAGCCCAAACCTTCAAAAGACACGTGTATAAATTTGACAGCTGCTGCACTATCAGTATGAGAGTTATAGCATTTTTAGTGAAGCAACTTTCGTTAGTTTGAAAAAATGGATAAAAAGGAATTTCGTGTGTTAATAAAGCATCGCGTTTTGGCGAAAAAAAGTACTATTGAAGCCAAGGCTTGGCTTGATAAACATTATTCGGACTTTGCACCAGGAAAATCAACCGTAGAGAAGTGGTTTGCAACATTTAAACGAGGCGAAATGAGCACCGAGGACGATGCACGCAGTGGACGCCCCAAAGAGGCTGTTACCGACGAAAACATCAAAAAAGTCCACAAAATAATTTCTGATAGCCGTAAAGTGAAGTTGATTGAGATAGCTGAGATCCTAAAGATATGATATCGTGAATGAATATTTGGACATGCGAAAGCTCACAATCGACCCAAAACAACAACGAATTGATGATTCTAAGCAGTGTTTGGAGCTGTTCAATCGTAATAAACCCAAATTTTTGAGTCGATATGTGACAATGGATGAAACATGGCTCCATCATTTCACACAGGAGTCCAATCGACAGTCAGCCGAGTGGACTGCATGTGATGAACACTAAAAATTATATAACTTCCCTAAAAATGCTATAACTCTCATACTAATAGTGCAACAGCTGTCAAATTTATACACGTGTCTTTTGAAGGTTAGGGTTAACTAAAAATCATATGGATTTAATACTAGTAGCGCGTCAGCTATGCGTCAGCTTACGAACTTTTCAGCTCACCTGTTACATTATTATTATTCATTTTTTTTTGTCGACCCTACGCTTATGTATCGAACAACAACCCACCGGCGGGTGGTGAGGGAGGACAGTGTCTTCCAGGGTTACTTCTTTGGGTAACTACACCGCATTTGCCTTTTGTACGGAAAAAAACCCGGGAAACTCTCAACCAGGCAGCGCGACTATCGATGCGAGACACTTTTTACCCATTGTCACAATTGCCATCGATTCTCCTGCTTTTCTGAAAGTATTGACTACAACAATAGAGAGTTTTTGCATACCGTATTTTTATAATACAGTATTTTTTTTTCTCCTTAGCGCGCATGCTCATAGGACGCATGCGCAATTGCCTATGAGCATGCGCGTTAAGGGGGTAAAAAAAATACTGTATTATAAAAATACGGTATGCAAAAACTCTCTAATGTCGCCAGCGGATTCAAACCTCTTTGTTCCAGCACACTAGCTGTACACGTAGCCATTGAGCCACGAATAGTACACATTTTTCACTTGAAACAATATTCTCTGTAATTGATTAATTATATAAATAAACGCATTGTTTCATGAAATTCTATAAAATTCCTTATAATGTTAACCTGGATCTTAACCAGTAATCTTAAAGTCTTAACCAGGAATACCTAGTAGTCATTTTAGTACCAAAAACTTTATATTGCTCTCATAGTCGTTTATGGTCTTGAGACAGTTACGGGAATGGAAATTGAAACCGTCTACTTGTAAAACAGTCACAACCGACTCGATTCGTCCAAGCCATGGTGGGATATTAGAGAGTTTTTTCATAACGTTTTTTCATCGTTTTTTCATTTTTCTTCCTAGCGCGCATGCTCATAGGAATAGCTCTGTAGTGCAGTATTACAAATACGCATGCGCAATAGGTACAATGTTTCCTATGAGCATGCGCGCTAGGAAGAAAAAATATCGGACAATAAGAAAATCTTATGCAAAAACTCTCTATTATCTCTGGATGAAAGTGTAGTGGTATGGTTGCTTGATTTATTCTTCGTTGGGAAGATATCCGACTCATCACACTTAGGGATTACAATATCGGACCAAAAGTTCAATGCCGGTATTCGGTATTTTTTAGATCTTAAAACCGGGATACTGGTTTTAATACCGGTAGTAGAAATGTCATTGTAGCTGTCATTTTACTTATAGTTTCCTCCAAATTATCTTCTTTTTTTTTTTCCAAAATAATCTAAAATCCCTGATGGCTTGGGCTTAGAACTGAGCTTAAGTTTGTATCTTCATCGCAATTAGATTCTTTCCGCTTTATCAAATTTGAATCATGTTTCGTTTTTAAATGTGTATGGAGTCCGTTTATACTTCCTCCATTCACTTTAATAACTCTTGAACATTTTTGTACATTGTGCCACCCTATTCTTTTCATCACATAAATAATGAAACCAAACCGAAGTATTATCAGCTGATTTTTTTTATGTTCTTTAAAGTTATTCTTATTCATTATTATGGGGTATTATTTATGAGTATAACAGTTGGGCTGACATGTTCGTAGGCTACACATAGATGGCGCTACTAGTATTAAATCCATATGACTTTTAGTTAGCCCTAACCTTCAAACGACACGTCTATAAATTTGACAGCTGTTGCACTATTAGTATGTGAGTTATAGCATTTTTGGTGAAGCAACTTTTGTTAGTTTGAAAAAATGGATAAAAAGGAATTTCCTGTGTTAATAAAGCATTGTGTTTTGGCGAAAAAAAAATACTATTGAAGCCAAGGCTTGGCTTGATAAACATTATTCGGACTTTGCACCAGGAAAATCCACCGTAGAGAAGTGGTTTGCTAAATTTAAACAAGGCGAAATGAGCACCGAGGACGATGCACGCAGTGGACGCCCCAAAGAGGCTGTTACCGACGAAAACATCAAAAAAGTCCACAAAATAATTTCTGATAACCGTAAAGTGAAGTGGATTGAGATAGCTTAGATCCTAAAGATATGAAAGGAACGTGTTGGACACATCGTGAATGAATATTTGGACATGCGAAAGCTCACAATCGACCCAAAACAACAACGAATTGATGATTCTAAGCAGTGTTTGTAGCTGTTCAATCGTAATAAACCCGAATTTTTGCGTCGATATGTGACAATGGGTGAAACATAGCTCCATTATTTCACACCGGAGTCCAATCGACAGTCGGCCGAGTGGACTGCACGTGATAAACACTAAAAATGCTATAACTTCACTAAAAATGCTATAACTTCACATACTAATAGAGCAACAGCTGTCAAATTTATACACGTGTCTTTTGAAGGTTAGGGCTAACTAAAAATCATATGGATTTAATACTATAGCGCCATCTATGAGTCAGCCTACGCACTTTTCTGTCCACCTGTTATATATATATATATAATAAATCTGAAAAATATATTGAAATCTAAAGTATGATATGCAAATACAATGCGAATAATAAACTCACCAATTAAAAAAAAATATCGGAATATTACACACTTTCTTCACAACTACAACCTTGTTTTCACAGATAAGCATATCTGGTTTTCAGATAAGAATTCTGAATAAGAATTCACAGATAAGAATAAGAATTTCACACATAAGAATTCTTTCACAGATAAGAATTCTAAATTTCTAGTAAATACGGAAAAAATGGTATTTAAACTTGTGAATACCGGTGTAACAAAATTGTACAAATGGCTCAAAATACCGGTATTCGGTATCCCGGTATACCGGTATTGCAATCCCTAATCACACCTCATTCTTGTATAATTGGTGTAAATTGGTGCATTGGGCTGCTAAATCAATTAAATATAAATCTAAAGTGCAAATATGGAGTCAACTCTGAAGTGTAGTAAAAACTGACCACTTCAACTTATAATGCTTAGAGTAACTAGCAGTTGTAACTCTCAAACTGTGGGCTGCGAGTCTCAAAAAGGCAATGAATTAATAACAAGTAATATAAAGAAAAAAATTTTAAAGTCAATTCCTACTTTTTTTTTCACTGTATTGCAGAAAGTCCCTCATAAATAATTTTATCTGGCGCCATCTATTGGTATGCAACTTAAATCTAAAAAAAACTAAAATTAATTAATTAAATTTAATTAACTGAATTAATATTTGAAAAAACTGTATTAACGTCAGTGTCATCCACTACAAGTTCAAAAAAAATGTATTTGAACTTGAGTGGATGAATAAAAAGTATTTTATGAACGATTGAAAATTTGAACAAGATATATATAGGGAGAGTGTGAGCTAATAGTGGGAATTGAAAAAGGTGGGCGATTTATTTTCTACAGAAAATAAATTCGATAAATCATAAAGAAATTGATAAAAAAAAAAGGCATGGAAGAACTTTTTGATGTGCTCGGTCTTGAGTATATAGGATTTAATAAATACTTTTTTGCTGGCAACTCACTGCTGAAAATTCCTAAAATTCCTTTGTTTTTAAATGATAGAAAAAAATTCTCAAATCACAGATGAAAAAAAAAAAAAAAAAAGATTTCTTAGAAACTCGAGGGAGAATTTTTGGAAAATACAAAAAACTAGTTCTTAAAAACATGGGCAATCGCAAAATTCAATTATTTAAATCTTTTTGGAGTAAGAAATTGAATATTTGTCAATAATTTGTTTCCTTTCCACAAAAAAAAAAATTACTTCTTGTGACTCATTACTCACTGTGAATACTTTCATTATGAAAAAAAAAAAAAGCTATTGTTTTTGCCACACAATAAATTGGATAAACCATCTGAGTCAAACATTTAATGGTGTAAAAAGAATATTTTATAGAGGTAAAGGTCACAATAACAGGTGGACTAAAAAGTTAATAGGCTGACACATAGATGGCGCTACCAGTATTAAAACCATATGATTTTTAGTTAGCCCTAACCTTCAAAAGACACGTGTATAAATTTGACAGCTGTTGCACTATTAGTATGCGAGTTATGGCAGTTTTAGTGTTCATCACGTGCAGGCCACTCGGCTGACTGTCGATTGGACACCGG